CAGGACGTCCGGCGCTTACTAGGGCACGCGGCAGGCGGGGCAGCGGTATTTGGGCTTCTCCAAGCAGATCACACAGACGACGGTGCCACCACTGAGCGACGCCATGGTCTCCCGGCCCCGCCGCGCGCTGCTCTGGCCGCGGGTGCCACGTGCACGCTGTTTCTTCCGTCTCCTTAACCGGGACCAATCAGCGCGCAGCATTTACTGGCAGACAAAAGCAACAGATTGATCCTGCTTACCGTTCCAGGCCCAATCAGTAGAAAGTCGATACACTCGATGTACACGCAGTAACTGCATCAGGTTTTCCCTGATTGGGTCACATCGTGGAAGAACTTGTCAGTAGCCCTGTCCGCCCATACACGGCAGGGGGACTTGGAACAAGTCATCGGCCCCACATTTCCTTTCCTGGTGTGGACTTTCTGACTCTTGCACAGGCTTTGGGTTCTCCCGCGGCAGGGGGACTTGGAACGAGTCATCGGCACTCTCCAGTTCCGTTGCCCCACATTTCCTTTTCTGGTATGGACTTTCTGACTCTTGCACAGGCTTTGGGTTCTCCCCGCACATGTCATTTGCTTATCTCTAGAAAACGAGAAGTCCAGCCATTGGTCAAACCTCTGTCAGATCACGAGACACACACATGCCCTTCCCAGCCTAGGCCAGTGGTAGGCAAACTCATTAGTCAACAGAGCCAAATATCAACAGGACAACGATTGAAATTTCTTTTGAGAGCCAAATGTTTTAAACTTAAACTATATAGGTAGGTACATTGTTATTAACTTAATTAGGGTACTCCTAAGGCTTAGGAAGAGCCACACTCAAGGGGCCAAAGAGCCGCAGTTTGCCGACCACTGGCCTAGGCCATTTTTCTCACGGGAAAGAAAGATGAGGCTTGGTCACTGACAAACGTTTATTGAATCTAACTGTGAGTCCTGCTATGAGCAGATGCTGGGACAGGACACCCAGGGATTATCAAAGGTTGTCTCTGGTCTCTGGGAGCTTAGGGCTTTGAGTGAAGGAAGGAGGGGGAGGTGGGAAGGAAGATACTCAGTTTTAGAGTCATGCTGACACTAGCCTGCACTTGCATGACCCTGAGAGTGAGTGCCTCCTTAAATTTTGCACCCTTGGTTTCTCACTCACCTCACCCTAGTCCCAGCCCAGGGTGGGGCAGATTAACCAGGTAAGAGAAGAGTGACTTCTGGCCCAAAGATGGGAATCCTGTCCTACTGAGTCCAGATAGGTGAGCTCTGATGAGCCTTGAATGCCACCTCAGGCTTTAGGAATAGACAAATTCACATTTTATTGGGAGCCCCCCTCTTCCTCAAAGCCCTGAGCATTGCCCCATGTGAGTGGTGCCCTCACCCTAAGTGCTTCCCCCTTGTGTTGGCTCATCAGCCCTCAGGATCCCAATACAAGGGTCCCCCATGACTTTCAAGATCTGTGGGAATGCATCTGCTACAACCAAGGCAGCCATTCTAGTCTTAGCTCAAACCCCTCCCTGGCTGTGTGACTTGGAAACATTGATTATCCTCTCTGAGCTCCCTCATCTATTAGATATCCAGACCTATATTCCCTATCTGTTGTGAGGCAAAGAGGAGACCATGTATTAAAAGGTTTATAATCTGAAGCACTACAAAGAGTTATTTCCATGATATCTAAAACATTTCTGTACTCTCCTGGAGCTCCAGTCCAGACCCCATGAGCACAGGTCCCAGGCCCAAGTCCCGGGTTTCTGCCGTCAGCCTCTGAGCTGTGCTGGCCCTGGGTGTGAGTGACTATCCATCCTTCCTTTGGCCGTGCCAGGCTGTCCGGAGGACGCTGTCCAGTCCTCAGTGCTGAACCGTCAGGTCCCCCCTGGCTGCCTCCCTGCACTACTGTCCCTACCTCCAGCCTCCAACCAGGTGCCCGGGCAAAATTCAAGACGCATCCACAATGACCCAATAATCTGCAGTGTTCTTTGTATTCCTCAACAATTGTGGGTACCGCTGGTTTCTATCAGAAGTATCCCAGCAGGTCTGTGCTTACCTGGGAAGGCCAGGGAGAAGGTGACTTGTCACACCACCCTTGAATCCCGTGCCCTGTCTGGCACCGGTAGAAATTCACCCATTATGGACATCACCACTGCCCTCTCCAAACTTTTCTTGTGAATTGTGTTTGGAGGCTGAGGCCACAGAAAGTTTCCACAATTTTTAGGGGTTCAACCCCACCCACATCCAAACCACACTGAATCCCCTAACTCCGGGTCCAGGAATGGTGACTCCAGCAAAAAAAACAAAAAATTCCTGGGATTCCTCCCAGGCACATTCTACGCAGAAAAAAAAAAAACCCTCCCTCCCCTCTGGGAGACCCCCAGCTTCCATGGACAGCCTCACCCCTCCTGCTCCAAGGTCCAGGACAGGTGGCTCAGCTGTGATGGCGATGAAATTGAGGAACATCAAGAAGCCACGGAAGACCAGCCCAACTCCTCTGGGCAGTGGCTAGTTCCGAGAAGAATGACAGATCTGACTCCAGGCCCAGCAATGTCCGCACTGACGCGGACGCCCATGGTGGCACCTGGCTCCCCTGGACCTCCACCGTGCCCATCCTAGCAACTGTCTCGCGCCTCCTTGGCGTCAGACTGAGCAGTGCCGACGTGGAGAGGCGAGGTAATAACCTGGCGCAATGGTTTTCAGAGCTACGGGCCCTGGCAGGCGCTGTCCAGCGCATTTCAGACAAGCCAATCCTGGGGCTAACAACTCCTAAGACCCCGAGGCGCGCGGAGACGCCCAGGCCTGACGCCCATCACCGCCAGAGGGCGCTCCAGGTAGCGATCGGCCCTGGTGCAGCAGCGCTCGCTCCAGACCTAACGGAGAAGACAAGGCTGTCTCACCTCGCAGGCAGACAGGCAGGAGTTAAGTCCGCAC